AAAAAGATAAAACACTGTACAAACAACAATGAGCCCAGTGCCCAAAGCTAGCATGGCACTTGCTCCATTATAATTTCATTTTCTTTGAACTGACAAGTGCAGTGGGGTTTCATATGCAAAATTTACACTCTGCAAATCAACTATCATCAACTATCACTCAAATTCATGTCACTAACAAACACACACACACGCACACATACTTTTTTCTAAAGAACACACACATACAGAGAAATCATTATACCCTGGCCAATATGAAAGCCGCTCACTGCAAGGCACCCAACCTATAACAATTTATTGACAAAAAGGAAAACATGATGTTCACAGTTGAGGAAGTCTGCAATAACAAACATACGCAATATGTTTGCTGTAGCTTTACGAGGTAAAATTTTCTTGTTTTACTTAAGTTGCCAGAGCGACTAACTTTGTGTACAGACTTAAAACGAAATTAACAATTAAAATAAAAAAAACTGAAAAGAACATAACTGTTGATTTTGTTTTCATTTTTCATCAAATAAAAAAAAACAAAAAAAAGGAGCATAAATTTCAACAAGTTACTTTTGCTTTAAGGGTGTAATAATAACAAGTTATTTACACTATAAAGATATGAGAGCTTAAAAACAGATAAGACAAGACTGAAATAATAATAATATTAATTTTTTTTTTAACTTACTGGACGGACACACAGACAAACAGACAGTTGATACTGTGAAGCTCAAAATAGAGGCAACCAAAAGGCTTCTCAACGTTAATATCAGGCTGCCCTCAAGTGCATAACATTTTTTTGCGACAAAAGGCAATGCAGATTAGCAAACCACCTAAAACCAAACCTAAAAAAACGCATAGTTTAAATCAAACCTACTAGCCAGATAACAAGCCTGTTACTATTTCATTGCTCAGTCTTAGGTGGTACAGGATAACTGATTCTACAATGGTATACAACAAGATTCTTGAATGAACCAAAGGGTCAAGCTGAAACATATTGTCATTCAATTAAAATTTTAATAATATGTTCCCTTTTAAAATCTTGAATTTGTATACTCAAGTCAGTCCTCAGCAGAGCTTTAGGTTTGCAAACCAACTTAAACTAGACACACATCTGTTTTGTACTTGGTAGTGTTGAGCTAGTAGGAATTATTTTACCACTTTTATCTAAATAGTGAACAGCCTAAAAGTGAGATACATATGCACAGATTAAAGTTTCTTATTGACTCCCAAGAAATACTTCAAGAATGTGCAACAAAACACAGAAATGCCCACAATGTAGGAGACCAGGAACCACAAGTACGGAAATATGTTTGTCAAGACAATCTTTCTTGAATATTAGCTGCTTTAAGTTGAAAATACTTAACAAGATGAGACCTGAGGCTGCATTGTGAGCAGAAACTACAAGTGAATATAACATTTTAAAATAGAAAAAAACATTAAATTTAATAAAAGAGTGAACAATCTTAAGGTTATAAAAAGTACATGTAAATGACAATACTAAAACACTTCATAAAAATAACTTTTAAGAAGCTAATATTCAAGATAGTTCCAATGGGAGAGTTTGCAATCCCTTACATCAGCTCATTATTTTACAAAAATTAGCTGAGAAAAACAAGCCATGATGTTATTTTATACCACACTTAGTAAGTTATGGTCTTTAAGGGGTTACTGATTACAGACTCAATGGCATAAAATCATAAAAATCAACTTAAAAGCACATCCCAAAGATGGGTGGAAGCCATTTCACAAATCAGTTTCACAGAAAGCAGAAGGCTTAACACAGTCTGAAAATTGTCTGTATCTGGTGTCAGCCACAAGATTGCACTGCCCCATCGGAGACTTGAAGAGTGGCCAGCACTGTTCCCATGTCATTTTCCAATATGTCATCATCACATACTGGAGATGAGAGGGGGGAATCAGTAAAAGAAGAAATGGGTGGATCTTCCTCCACCCAATCCGATTGTCACTTGCCATCTTTGGATGTTCTCCGTCTCTTGCTCCCTGCTGTGTCAGCTTCAGATGCTGCAAGGAAAAATGGGATATTAAAATACTTAAAGCACTAAAGATATTACAGAAAAACTCAGTGTTCAATTCAAACATACCATTAGCTACACTTCTGGTTTTGCGTCGGGTTTTGACCTCTTCTTGTGAGAGAGTTGTAACACTTGCAGCCACAGTCACACTTGTACTTGTAGTATTTGGTGCTGCAGGCCCTGATTTGACTGCTGTTGCAGCTCGTGTCCCACCAGTAATGCTATTACTCGATGCATTCGTCTTATTAACAGGAGTTGCCCCAGAATTGTTGGATGATGGAGCAGGCCCAGCTACAGCTGTCTGACGACCGGATCGTCTGGTCACTGTGGTTGTAGAACTAGTTCCATTGCTATTGCTAGTTGAAGAAGAAGTTGATGCTGATGATGCAGTTGATGAGTTACTGCCCAAAGGTGAAGCTTGACTTTTGGTGGAAAGATTAGCACTGGATCTTCCTGTCTTGGATGTTGAACTATTAGACCTACAACAAAGGAGGAAAAAATATTATTGATTAATACACATTATTTTACATCTCTGTTAATAGACTTCTTTTCGCAGAGGCTTACTTTGTGTCCTCATCTTTGGCTGTGCGACTGGATGTACTACTAACAGACTGAGCACCAGGTGAGACAGCTCCATCATCTCTGCGTCCCTTACCCACTATCTCTATAAGTGGCTCATCATCTGAAGACTCAACATCTACTGATGCTGAGCTACCACCTAAAAATTAAATAAGTAAGTACATGCCAAAGCAAACCAAAAAAATAAAAAAAAATAAAAAAAAATAAAGGTTTTAGATGTAATTGTTACCTCTCCGAGATTTTCGCATAATTTGAGGAGTAATTTCTACAGTTGGATCTGTTGGCTTTTGACCATCAACACCCATACACGCCTTAATAAGCTCAACTGCATTTTCAGAACACTTTCTTTTGCCTGGTCTAGGGGTTGAAGATGATGTTACATTGAGATCATCTGTGACGCTAGATGCAGCACTTGAATCAGAATTTTGCCTTTTCCGTTTCATTCTTGGTACAGGGTTAGGGCTTGGCTTGTTAGAGTTATTTCTTCCAGTTACAATTGGTGAAGAAGACCTATCATCTGACCCACGCAGCACTGGTCCTCCTCCAGGGCTAGACTTTGGAGTCTTTAAATTTAGTGAAACATCAGGACTAGGATGACCCATTCTATTTGGAAATAGATAATATGAGATTAGTTTACATGAAATTATTATCCTTAAAAAGAAACAAAGCTGAGTTCAAAATACCTGTTTTGAGAACGGGTACTACGTCCACCTCTCCTCTCGAGGCCATCTGGTGGTATCTCAATAAGAAGTTGTTGAAGCATAGTTTTAGGAACACTGGCGGCTTTTCCTCCAAAATCATTGACAGTGGAAGCAGATGATCCAACAGCAAGGCCACCTGTAATAATTAAATTCATATCAACCTGGCCTTATTAAAAACCATAAACAGAGCAGTCATAATCACTGGGTCAAGGCTACATACCATCTTCCTGTTCATCACCAGCTGATGATCGTACTTTCTCAATGTTTCTCATTAACATTCTTCTCTTCCTCTCCCTTCTTCTTTGTATAGCACTACCCGAAGCACCACCAGGAGAAGGGCAATCAAGTAAGCCATCTTCAGTTGATGGGTCTCCATCTTCTTCTTCAAGATTAGTAGGAGATGGGGTTTCATCTCTATGTTTTTCTGGGTTGGAATAGGTGTACAATGGGGGAGTTATTCTGATAGGTTGAGGATCTTCTAATGTTGGAGAGCCTATTGGTACGGTTGTTTCATCTGTTGCTGGGGCAGTGAGTTCTATTTTTGGTTCCACTTTTGGCTTTTGGTCACTCACTTTTGTTGGACTGGATTCCATTGCAGATTTAACTTTGGCAGCCATTGCACTCACTAGAGAGTCTTTAAGAGGACTAACTTGTGGAGAGACATGCTTGGTTGATGAGGTTGGAATCACAGGTTTGGTTGATAATACTGTTGCAATGCTGGCTGCCACTTCATCTCCAGGTTTTGAATTAAGTGAGTTTGTTTGAATGGGCTCGGTTTTTACTTCACTACACTGAACTTTAGATTCTGATGGTGAGGTGGATATAACGCAAGGTTTCTTCTCTTGGGGTAAGCATGATGACTCAATTTCTTTCTCATCTTTTCGACAAGGAGACTCACCCTGGTTTGGCGATTTTTCAGACAATGCATCCATGGATTCAATGCCTGAATCTTCTCCTTGGGTGTTTCCTTGTTCAGCACCAGCAGTTGGAGCAGCTTCAGCCTCGGCAACCGGAGGAACATCTATCTTGTCCAATACAGTTGTGTTTTTTCTGGGTTCACCCTCAAGAAACTGTTGCTTGATCTTAGCTTCAGATATAACTAAATCACCAACTGGTAGACGCTCCATAAGCCTTTCCCCCTTTTCGGCCTTTTTCATCAGACGTTTGCCATCATGGTTAGATATTTTCTGAATTTGACGGCAACTCTCTATAATTGCCTTGTGATGCTGGGAAAAATGATCTTGACCTTCATGCAGTTCTAGTCTTGATTGCAAAGTTTTACGATGATTCAGCACAGCCTCATTCATTACAGCGGTCTTCATAACAGATTTATTTAAAGAGCTGGACAATTTTCTACCATGCCTTAAATGGTCCACTTTTTTTGCTTTAGATGCATTCACTGTCCTAATGGTATTTATCACAGGTTTGTTGTCATGCTCCCCAGGTTTGGCAGCCACAACATCTGAACTGTCTGGATTACAGCTTGACTCTGATGACGGAGCAGGTGATCTAGGGGTAATTTTTGAAGCCACCGCTGCTAGAGAATCTGAAACAAACAAATAAAATAATTATATAGCACTATGCTAAACCCATACATAAATTCCAAAGCCATAAGTCTATGCAGTAGTATTTTGTGTTCAAAACTGATAGAATCCAAACATACCTGGAAAGTTAATATCCTTTTCTGATCCAACAGGTCTCTTTCTCTTCTCTTCATCCCCATTTCCAACCCCATTCTGCCCAATATCACTGGCTGCTTCACCCTCCACACTCCACCTCACATTGGGGGAAGTGGCGGGTGATACACCAACACTCTCAGATTCATCAGTTGCAACAATTTTGCCTTCAGATGAAACTGATTCTTGAAAGCTTCCTGTGGTAGGAAGAACTTTCTTCTTCTGTTTACGATTTTTAACAAGGCCACGTGCATTACTAGGTAAAAGCTGAGCAGTGTTGGGGCGATTAGCAATCCTTACTGCTACATCCTTTTCAGGAAAAGCTTTGATAGGATTACTGGAACTGCTAGTGGGTGTACTTAAAGTAACAGGTAAGGAGCCAATATTAGAAACAACACTTGCTGGCTTCATTTTTCCTACATTAGGATTTGGCATAACAATTTCACCAGGTTCCAGTACAGGGCGAGCAGCCAAATCCTCATCTGAACGGTGACGAGCTACTTTTGTTTTGGTTCGCATCTTTTCACCACCAGCAATGCTAGTCCGTATCATATTTGCTGACTCTGTTGTGGGCGAGCCTGGTCCAGGGACCGAACTTTGAACAGAACCTGGTACAAGATGAGGCTTCTTCAAACGGATATTTTCTGTTGCAGAAGGACTTCCACCAGCAACCAGTTTTCCCGGCTTGAACTTCTTAGTAGAATCTACATTTACAGGGGCAACTCCACTGTTCACAGCAACTTCTTTTATCCACTTTTTGCTCTCTTTTCGGTCTCTTACTACCATTGGTCCTCTGCCTCTGAGAGAGATGTGGAGAGGCGGTACGCGAGGCTCCTCAGTAGAAACTCCACTGTTAGGTGTGCCAGGTTGTGAGGGGCCAGGCTGTGCACCAAAAGGAACAGCACCACTTCCCCCACTAGAACCAACAACCTTGTAAGCTGAATCAAGCTTCAGACGAAGCTTTATTTTTTCAGGAGCTGGGCTGTTGTTTGCATCTCGAGCAGTCTTAATTCGAGCTCGCCTACTAATAGAGGTCTCACTGGTCGTGGACCTGACAGTAGCTTCAGAATCAGATTGATCTGTGGTTGTGGTGGTTGTGTCAGCTCTTCGAGATATGGGAGAGCTTACGTCATCATCATCATCAGAATAAACTGAGTTAGATAGATCATTAAGAGGCGAAGAGAAGTTAAAAAATGAATCTTCCTTTAGAGTATCAATATTTTTGTCAGTTGCCTCAACTTCTGAGTCAGAGCTTGATTCACTAGGCATTGGTTCCAACATGCCAGTAAGAGGATTAATGAGGAACTGACGTTCTTTACCTGAAGAAGTTAGAGCAGGAGGTGGTGTTGGTGGACTAGCAGCATTATTTGCCTTACGGGGTTCCTCTGCATTTTGACTAGTTTCTTTATTTTCCACCGGTGGAAGAGGTGCCACTGGCATGGTTTGCTGCTGGGATTGTTGAGGCAAGAGCAATTGCTGTTGAGGGGGAACCATACCTTGGCTATTAGATGGGTATGGAGAACTCATGGGTCCTTGACCAGTATTCTGAATCAGACTTGAGTTAAGGCTTTGGGTAGAATTTGGGTTAAGATTTTGGGTACCAGGTGGGGTATTTGACCACATTGCTTGCTGGGGCTGAGGCTGCCTCAGAGGTCCAGACATGCCCACTCCCATTGGGTGTCTAACAGCCATTGTGCCAGGAGTCATTGGCTGCGCTGCAGGGTTGGCTAGACGAGGATCAACACCTGGGAACCGCTGATACTCTTGTTGACTATATTGCGGCACCATTGGTGGCTGTTGAGGCTGTGCATCAGTAGGAGAGTTCATCCGAGGGGCCATTGATCTCTGCTGAAATCTTTGTTGTTGAAGCTGTTGCTGCTGAAGTTGTTGTTGCTGCTGAAGTTGTTGTTGTTGTTGCTGCTGAAGTTGTTGCTGTTGTTGAAGCTGCTGCTGTTGTTGTTGAAGCTGCTGCTGCTGCTGTTGTTGAAGCTGCTGCTGTTGCAACTGTTGTTGTTGTTGAAGTTGTTGCTGCTGTTGTTGGAGATGTTGCATTTGTTGTTGGTGCATTTGCTGATATTGAAGCTGCTGTGCCGGTGGCGGTGGAGGTGGTGGTGGTGGTGGGGGTGGTACTTGTTGTAGCTGTTGCGGCTGTGGCTGTTGCGGCTGCTGCTGCGGTTGCTGCGGTTGTTGAGGTTGAGGCTGCTGCTGACCTTGTCCAGGTAATCTTGAAGGCTGAAGGGGAGCTCGACCCTGGCCTTGAGCCTGTATTTGAGGTACTAATGTACTTGGGACACTTGAGGGAGTTGTTGACTGGCTTAGAGGAGGTGTTCCTGACGCCAAAGACGATGCTTTCACCGGTAAAACGGAAGATTGTGATGGAGGCTGGGATGGCATTGCCGCTGAATGTGTTGCGGTTGAAGGTAAGGCAGAGGACAACACATTCGGCAAAACAGATGATGCTTGAGATGGAGCAGATGACACAGGAGATAAGCCAGTTCCTGGCGTTCCTTGACCAACTCCAGGGGGAAGTGAAGAGGGACCAATCGAAGAAACTCCATTGGGGTTCACAGGTTTCTGTGCTACAGGGGGTCTTTGACGAATTTGAGGGCTTCCAATAGTCATTTGCTGTTGAACATTTGATGGAGGAATAGGTCTTTGCATTCTGAACTGGTCTACTTGAGGCGATGAAGGGACTAAGGTCGGGATCTGTTGTTGTGCCAGGGGCACAGGGTTTGATAGCAAGTTTGTCTGCAAGTCTGACTGTTGTTGCACTTGCTGCGGAATACCAACTGCAGGCATTGAGTGTTGCTGCTGTTGAGGTGGTTGTTGAGGCTGAGATGTATGGCCAGCAGCTTGAGGTCCAACTTGATTGAATGAAGGTTGCTGAGAAGGAATGAGAGGTGCAGAACTTTCTGCGGGTAGTCGCTGGGACTGTAAGGCAGTTGGAGGTGAGGGAACAGTACTCACAAAGGCTGAGGAGCCAATATGATGCTGTAGGTGATTGGTCACAATTTCGCCTGTGCTCAATGCAGGGGAAGGAGGGGCTGATCTTTTTAGATCTTGACTGATTTCTGTGACAGATGTTCTTCGACGAGGCTGAGCATTCTTCCCTTGACCACGAACTCTTGCTACAGGTTTGTCGGAGGTGCTTCCAGTTGGCGGAAGCATCTTGTTTACATGGTTTCCAACAGGAGAACCAGGATTCCCATCGTTCTGCAGAAGGTTCACTAGTAAAGGGCTTGATAATGCTACATTGGCAGGATTGGCCAATTTCAAATTTTGACCACTTGGATAAGGAGGAGGAGGTGGCTGTGGCTGGGCCTGAGGAGCTACTGCTGACTGTGGTGGGGTTGGTATTCCTTGCTGAACATCTCTTCCTTGCATCATCTGAGCTGCCTGGGTCATACTGTTGAAGGGGAATGGCCCTTGACCAGGTGGCCTAAGGAAGATAGATAAAGAAAGAGAAATAAGTTAATTGTTTCCAACAATACACACAGAAAATGCACAATGAAAAATAAACAAATGAAGGAAAGAAAGAAGAAAAAATCAATTTAACAAACCTTGATCCTTGAGCTGGAGGGGTAGCTGGGTTCATTTGAGTTCCAGGAGTCACCACAGTTGCTGAAGGTGGCTTTGATGGAGGAAATTGAGGTATGGGTTCGCCATTGCTTGGAGCGACCACATTTGGTGTGGTAGGTACACTGGCCATGGCTTGAGCCACGTTTCGCATGAGACCTCCCAGTCCTCCCGAAGGAGTGGACACACCTGACGTAGACGCTCCATCGGAATTTGCAGGGGCCGCAGAAACACGTATTTCCTGAGGTTCTCCACCAAAACGGTTGGCAATTGTCAGAGATATGACCTGTCGAATTTAAAAGATGTGAAAGATTGTAAAACATTGAGACACCAAAAATAAGTCATTTTATAAACTTAATTCCAATTAAAGTTGGCTAGCAAATCACTAAGCGCTCAAAAGAACAAACATACCTGATCGCCTTGAACTTGGACAGACAATATACCAAGCGCAGAGAGAGCTTGACTTCCCTCCTCTGCTAGCTGGCGAAGCCGCTGGGCAGCCTCTCGTGGAATGTTGAATGTCACACGAACTGAATTCCATGGTTCCACTTTGGAGACTTGCAAGGACTCCCCATCACCTATAACACAAATAAAAATTTTAAGAAAACAAGAAAAGACACAAAGGTAAATAAAATATGACAGCAAAATGTACCTCTGCAAAGTAGGCAATTAAGTTCATCCACTATCTTCTGAAACTTTTGAGGAAAATCTGGGTCTGTTAGGTCTCCCTGACATGTGACCACCGTCTCAATCAGGTCTCCATCACTATCCGCTGCCATGGCTGGGAAGAAGGAAAACTAATTAGTAATTACAAAATTCTTATTAGAATAAAAATAATACAACTTCTTTCCCTAACATTTAGAAACAAACAATGATGACTTTCAGTACAATATTGATTTAAAAGGCGCTTACCAGACAAGTCTCACATGCTCTTGCTCCAAATCAAGAGCTCATTGCACCTCACACAAGCCCAAGCAGCAACGAGCTGCACACCGCCAAACCTGAGGTAACAGAAACTTTCAATTAGTCGATATCAAAATTTTTAAAAATAAAGAAGCGGACAGCCAAATTTCAATGACAGTTAACATTAACAATTTGCTTTTAATACAAAAAAATAAATGTAATACAGGAAATTACATTTCAGTTAGTTCAATACTAATATGCTATCATCATGATCTGATCACCTTTATCAACAACAATATATCTTGGGGTGGTGGTGCATAATTGTGATTAAAATTGAAAAAGGTGCAAAATAAGATGACTTACTAAATAGACAGTCCTCGTGCATTCTAAGTATTTGTAAGGTCAGCACAGAAATTGAGAATACACTCAAGATGCATGATGATATTTTTGGTATGGTCTCCAATGTCTTGGTGGTAAGGTTAGGTGAAAGACAATTTCACAAACACTCCACTGTCACCACTTCACTTCATTAAAAAAAAATCACACAAATTTCCTCATCAGCTTAAGTCCTTGACATAATAATCACACCTGCAAAGCAGAACAAAACAAAAACACAAATTAATAACACATTACAAGACAATGAAAATAACAATGTCACTGATGGAGTCTGAGATTGAAAGAGATAAACCAACATGATATAGAATGAAAACTAAAATGAAGTAAAACAAAAGGTAAATGTTGAGACTACTTGCACACTGAAATTTGAAAAGCTGCTTGATAACAATGGGAAGGGAACAATAAAAATTGAATAAAACAACACTTCAATGAGTTGAGGTTAGTCAGTGGAACGCAAATCAAATTTGGAAATTTCATATACTAATGTTCGATAACTCAAATTAACATCTTTGCTGACACATATTATTGGTTGTATGATAATAATATGCAAAAATTTGCAGAATAAATTTGCATAACTATCTAATGATTAATAATAGTTGATATTAGAACATATCAATGACTGATGAAAACTTTCAATAAAAAAAACAACAGCAGATGAATCAGATACTTAACAAATAATTCTAGACCAAAAAGGAAGAAATATATCAGATTAAAATAAATTTGGAGGGGATGAATGATTTGGGGAAAGAGAAGTCGTGAAGTTTTAACAACACAGCAAAAGATACTTAAATTACAATTAACAAGATCGAGAGAGAAGCCAGCAAAAACGTAAGGAAAGAAAAACATGGATTTGGTACTGAGTCAATACTTTAAATTGGCGAAGCACCGGTGGGCACTCTGATGTGTTGGTCTGGTGGCCTAGCCCAGGTCCGCGCGGGGACCCTGTGTCCAATCTCAGTGGCACCGCCGATAAAGAAGCCCAAGACTGTATTTAGTGTGAAACGGGCGAATTGCACAGTGCGCCAGAGTAAAAAGAAAAGTATGGTGTGCAAAAAGGTCGCGGGGTATATAATATTACATCAAATTTTACCGACAAGTCGGCCTCCATTTTGAGCTGGGGGAGTGGAGACCGTTCCAGCATGCTCCTTCGGCCGTCAGTCAAAATTAGGTTACGCTGTCTCCAAACACTTACGTCGGAGCAAAACAACTCTTAACAGCACCGTATACACCACAAAGCACTTCTGATGAGTCACTCCTTCTACTTATGCGCTGACAACGGCACAATTAATTAGATACCGATCCAAAAAGCGATCTCCTCGGGTTGAGTAAAATCGGACGATACCCATTTTCTGTGTGTTGATTATCCATTTGTTCGGGGAGGTGCACGTCGCGCACTAGTGTTAAATGAACGTAAATATGTTCGAACTTGTAGCGTCAGTACTATGAGCCCACTTCTTACCTAAATAAGTGAAAATCACGTACATATTATGGACAAATTTACAAACGCTATGGAACAATAACAAGGGCCGCCATTTGCAATGCTTGTAACTGACATGCGCAAATCGATGCACGGAATTGTGGGTAGACTTTCCGCCACCTCCCACTACCCCTCGTCCAACGGACCTCTTTCATTGGTCAACATACTCCTACACGGCCTACCATTGGCTTATAGTAGATGTGGATATTTTTACGATTTCCGGTACGATAAGGCGCACTGTTCGTAATGATTTGTCGGACCGTCGGTTCAACCGATACACGTATCAACGCCATGTTAATAATAATCTTGGGTATTCCCTTCGACATTTTCTCATTGATTTCAATGTTGATGGTATCAGCAGTTGATTGAGAGCAGGTAGGCCTAACCCTTGCGGGAAAGTGTTAATCGACTTTCCTCTTTCCAGAGATAGCTCTCAGCAGATTTAGAGCAAGGTTTAGAGTCATTGTCCCAACAAGAACTGCATTTTACTTGTATCGTTATCTGGATATCCACCCACTTGTTAGATTATGATTATGATTTTCACATATTACAAATCATTAGGGGTAGGAGTCGTGACTCCCATAACACCCGTGGCCCTTTACCAGAACTTTTACACGAACGGTGGGAAATTAACAGTGACAGCTGTGTGGAGGCAAAAAATCGTGACTTGACAGTCGACACCCCCCCCCTTTTCCCGAAAACTCTACTTCCTCATGGAAAATTTAAAAATGACCCGCTGACTACCCCCCGCCCCCTTGCTCCCTTGATTGACAGGTCAACCACACGCACCAATCTGATACCGGTAGGTATCTTAAGATTCAGCGCAAAATTGAATTTCTATTATCCTCGTACCTACAATTACTCTACATTTCAATATTTTGAAAACACAAATGCTTCGTAGAAAAACAGATTTATAGTTGTGCTATTATGAATTTTGTTTTTGAAAGAGGAAGGAGTGTTCGGTCCCTTTCCAGCCTGTGATCACTTTCAGAAGGCCCCGTATTCTTACTGTGTTGCTGTCGTTGAACATGTGGTGTTAGGGTTATGTTTTCGATAAGACCTGATTTGTATTTCGCATGCCCAAATCAGTCGAAATACCCTCTAACAGAAAGTCTACAGTGCATCCCTGATACGTCTATGAGCTTCTTTTACTACCGATTCAAAAGAAATCCCGGACGTCCAATACGGATCTATTAATAGAAGGCGAGTCGAACCGCACCTCATGGATACATTATCCATTGTTATTATTTTTACTTTGATACAGTTTTTTTGGTGTGTGTTACTAACGTGCGTCTTCTTTATCCAGGCTTTGCTCACCATTTCTCAAGATGGCATCGTCAAACAACAGCCTGGGGGTCGGAAGAGTGTTCGACCCTAGAAAGGTTACTTTCACCATGTTTACATCAGATGATATACGCAAGATGAGTACGGTGACAATTAGGACGCCCCTCACATTAAACGCTCTGGGACACCCTGTGCCGGGTGGTCTCTATGATTCAGCCATGGGTCCTATGACAGACACAAGTGATCCATGTAAAACATGCTTGAAGAATATTTATGGATGCCCTGGCCATATAGGCCACATAGAACTTCCCGTTCCAGTCACTAATCCTCTATTCCACAAGCCTGTTTCTGTATTTATGAGGCTGGCTTGTTTAAATTGCTATAGACTTCAACTTCCACCAGCCATCAAGTGGCAAATTATTGCTCAAATTCGTCTTGCCGAAGCTGGATTTATGACAGAAGCATTAGAAGTTGAAAACCATTGCTCTATTAAAGAGAAGAAGAGTTTGACGGCAGAGGTAGAAGATGCCATGTACAAGGATATGATCACATCCTACATTCAAACTGTCACTAGCAGAGGCAACTCAAATATTGTGCCCAGTGATAACAAAGCTGCAGAAACAGTCCGAAATTATAATTTGAACAGCTTGCTCAGAGCCTCTTGCACTGAAAAGAAGTGCATGTACTGCAAAGGTACCTTATTAAAATTCATTTTATTTCGAGATCGTCTGAATGTGAGAGTTGACGTTGCTCCTAAGCACCAACAGAACGATGAAAGCATTAATCCTAATTCATCTATCAACTCCAATGTATCAATTGCTGACTTATCCACTGCACCAGGAGTTAAAAAAGCCAGAATGCAAACTCTCAACCCAAAAGAAATCAGAGATCATCTTCGTAAGCTATGGGCAAATGAGAAAGAATTCATGGGAGAAGTAATGCCAGTACTAAAGCATCATGATATTGACCATCCAATTGATATCTTCTTTTTTGACGTCATCCCCGTGCCACCACCAAATGTTCGCCCAGTAAATTTTGTCAGAGGTGTACCTTGTGAACACCCTCAGACTGGCATGTATAAGAAAGTTGTGTCTGATTCAGTGGTTTTATGGAATGTTATCCAATTAGTACAAGATGCATCCCATTCTATGACACCAGAAGGGAAGCTCCTTGTGCAAGGTGTTCAGGGTGCTACACCTGTTGAAAAGCTCCATTTTGCATGGGAAGAACTTCAGTCCAGTGCAGATCACTTAATGGACTCAGAACATGGTGGTGTTTTTGATCAACGAGTTCAAGGTTTGAAACAAGTCTTGGAAAAGAAGGAAGGTGTTATCCGTATGCATATGATGGGAAAGCGGGTTAACTTTGCTGCTCGATCTGTTATAACTCCTGATCCCAATCTGAATGTTGATGAAATTGGGTTCCCAGAAGCATTTGCTTTGAAATTGTACTATCCTGTCCCAGTCACTCACTGGAATGTTAAAGAGCTACGGCAAATGGTTAAAAATGGACCTCTGGTTCATCCAGGTGCTGTCATGGTAGAGGATGAAAAAGGCAATATTAGCAGATTGAATGAAAATAATCCATTGCAGAGAGAGGCTATTGCTAAAAGACTTCTCACACCAGGAGATCAGTCCCAGATATTCAATAAGGGTATGAAGAAAGTTTACAGACACCTTATTAATGGCGACATTCTATTGCTGAATCGACAGCCCACTCTACATAGACCCAGTATAATGGCCCACAAAGCTCGAATCCTTAAAGGTGAGAAGACTTTAAGAATGCACTACTCCAACTGTAAGTCTTATAATGCTGATTTTGATGGTGATGAAATGAATGCCCACTTTCCTCAAAGTGAGCTAGCAAGAAGTGAAGCTTACAACCTTGTTAATGTCTGCCACCAATATCTTGTACCAAAGGATGGCACACCCCTTGGTGGTTTAATCCAGGATCACATGGTTTCAGGAGTTTGGCTTTCTATTCGCGGTAAATTCTTCTCTCGTGAAGATTACTGTCAGCTTGTGTTTCAGGCAATTGGTGACATGGCAGGCAATATAAAACTTCTCCATCCGGCAATAATGAAGCCAATGCCATTGTGGTCTGGTAAACAAGTTATTTCCACGGTCCTGATCAATACTATACCTTCTGGCAAGCCTTTGATTAATTTGACTGCTACTGCTAAAATTCGGGCCAACTTGTGGATACAAGAAACTCCTCGACCATGGCTTGCTGGTGGCACTCCATTTGGTAATTCTAATAATATGTCTGAAGCGGAAGTTATCATCAGACAGGGAGAACTGTTGAGTGGGGTTCTTGACAAGACCCATTATGGTGCCACTCCATATGGTTTAGTGCACTGTATGTATGAACTCTATGGAGGACAATGTTCCAGCCGATTGCTTAGTTCATTTGCTAAATTATTCATGGCTTTTCTTCAGCTAATGGAAGGATTTACTTTGGGGGTAGAAGACATTCTTGTTGTGAAGAAGGCAGATAAACGAAGAACAGAGATTATTCAAGAATGCCGTAAAATGGGTAATACTGCAGCTGCTGCCGCCTTAGGTCTAGCTCCAGACACACCACCTGACGTCTTGACGGAGAAGATGGAAGAGGCTTACTGCAATCCTAAGAGGAACTTCCGTGGGGAAATTGACAGTCAATTCAAAAGTTTACTGAACCCCTATACAGATGATATAAATAAAACATGTCTTCCTGGGGGACTTCTACAAAAGTTCCCCAGAAATAATTTGCAGCTGATGGTGCAGTCAGGAGCAAAAGGATCGACTGTGAATACTATGCAGATTTCTGGATTGCTTGGCCAAATAGAATTAGAGGGAAAGCGTCCTCCCTTAATGATATCAGGACGCTCACTGCCAAGTTTCATCCCCTACGATAGACAACCTAGAGCTGGAGGGTTTATTGATGGGCGTTTTATGACAGGAATTCAACCCCAGGAGTTCTTCTTTCACTGTATGGCAGGCCGTGAGGGCTTAATTGATACAGCTGTGAAAACTAGTCGGAGTGGATACTTACAGAGGTGCCTTGTAAAGAATCTTGAAGGCTTAAGTATACAATATGATATGACAGTTCGAGACAGTGACGGAAGTGTTGTCCAATTTGCATATGGAGAAGATGGCATGGATATTTCTAAAGTGCAGTTTTTGAAGCCTGAGCAGATGTCTTTCTTGGATGATAACCACAAGGTGTTACACGACACAAAACTTTTATCATCATTAAGAGATGAAGATACATCTAAGGACATTCTCAAACATAAGAAAAAAGTGAAAAAGTGGAAAAAGGTGTTTGGTGGTAGAAAAACTAGAAGAAGTACCTTCCTAAACTACACAGTTGGTATGACAGACACATTTAATGTCAAGAAGTTATCCAGTAAAACTGGGAGGAAGAAAGGCTTGGCTCAATTGATTGATGTTTTTCGAGAGACACCCCTTTCAGACCCTGAAATGAAGCCATATGTTGTAAATGAAAGGGCTCCAGATCCTGTCACTAGCTCATACCCAGCGCATTCACACTTAGGAGCTGTGACTGAACGTTTGGAAGAAATAATTGAAAACTATGTTAAGACAAGAAACAAGACCAGCCTCTCTGTAGATGATTCTGGATTTAAGGATATGCTGTATCTGAAGTCAATGTGTTCTTTAGCTCCTGCAGGAGATCCAGTTGGCCTCCTGGCAGCTCAGTCTGTTGGTGAACCTTCCACACAAATGACTTTAAATACATTCCACTTTGCAGGTCGTGGTGAAATGAATGTAACTCTTGGTATTCCACGACTTAAGGAAATCCTAATGACAGCATCAAAAAATATCAGCACTCCATCAATGGAGATACCATTCAGAAAAGATGTGTCAAACTTGAAAGTTGAATCTGAAAGTTTGAAAGGCAAACTTACTAAGATTACTGTAGCTGACATTTTGGAATATGTTCAAGTTACTGAATCTTTAGTGCTTTCTCCAGTTCGAGCACATCAGTATATTATGAGAATGCAGTTTCTTCCTTTCAAATTTTACAAGGAATTGTTCTTTACAACTCCAGATGCCGTTTTGAGACACATTGAGAAATATTTCTTAGCAAGTCTTGATTTTCATATCAAGAAATTGATCCAGGCCTCTGGAAGAACTACCTCAATTGAAGATCAGGTGAGAAAATCAGCTGAGAAACCCAAGAGAGGAAAGAGCAAAGCTCCCACTCAAGAAGAAGATGATGAAGATGTTGATTTTTCTACAGCTGCTAAAGCAGGAACTGGTGAAGGTCACGAAAGTTCAGATGAAGAAGCACAAGGAGATGATGATGATGCAACTGCTGCATCTCAAAGAAAAAAGCATCAAGATTCTGCTAATTATAGTGATGAATCAGACGAGGAGAGTTCTGATAATGATGGAAAGGGCTTTATCCATGAGGAAGAGAGAAACCATCAAGAAAATGAAAAAAATGAACTCATGTGTCTCAGCAAGTATACATTTATTGATGAGTATTACTTTGATAAGAAAAGAAAAGAATGGTGTGTCATAAAAATTAGCATATCTATACCAAGTAAGAAATTGAACCTTTCTGTGCTTGTTCAAGAGGTTGCACGTCTTTCTGCAGTAAGTCAAGTACGAGGTCTTAAGAGAGCTTTTCTTCTCAATAACCCACGTGATGGTCTTGTACTGAAGACGGATGGTCTGAACATAATTGAAATGTTTAAATACTCAGATTTGCTTGACCTCAACAAGCTTTACTCAAATGATATTCATGCCATTGCAGACATTTATGGTATTGAAGCAGCAGTTAGAGTGCTTGTAAAAGAAATTCAGGATGTGTTCAAGGTATATGGTATCACTGTGGATCCACGCCATTTAATGTTGATTGCTGATTTTATGACATTCAGTGGAATATTTTCACCTATGAATCGGACAGGCCTGGACAACAACCCATCTTCTTTACAGAAAATGTCCTTTGAAGCCCCAATAGGTTTCCTGAAGAAATCGTTATGGTTAGGCAAGAGTGATTCTCTTGAATCACCATCAAGTAGAATATGTGTTGGGAGACCTTGTAGAAGCGGGACAGGTGCTTTCCAGCTTCGTCACCAACTCAATTAGGAATGTCGCACTGTTTTCCTATAAAATGATAGATTTTGATTTCTTGAAATCTGTTTCAAGGATATGATTTGTGATATTATAGCCTAATTGTAATTTGAAAAGCCAAGGATAAGAAAAATACCATACTAAAACCCCAATTAACAAATATTCTGATTTTGTTGTACTGTTATTCTTAGAAACAAGTGCCACAGTTTTAATGTAAGCAACACTGGGTAGTGGGGCTCTGATGTGTATATTGTATTTTGAAACATTAAATATTTGGTATAAAAATAAATGATTTTTATTCCGTTAAAAAAAAAAACAACAACAACAAAGAAACAATTTTACTATAATCATATTCAAGATTACTAAACAGACTGCAAGCAAAGTAAAATTTCAAGTTACAATTAAATCCATAAACTCAAAAAACATGCTTTAAGTAATTTAATACATCTGTTGTAAAGTAAGACAATGGCAATGCACAGGCACAGAAATGAGGTGGCTTAACGCAATTTGGCAGAATTGTACAAGAAATGTACAGCTTTACTAGTGGCTGGTCCGACACTCCTTGAAGTAGTTGTGCCAAGACATGGAATGTCAGCCAACAAATTTTCATCTCCTCCGAAACGATATGCCTGGACGATGGCTTGGGGAGTTGGGTAGCGTCCCACAATAGCAATCGCCTTTTCAACAGACAAACCTTTCATTTGAACTAGTTGGCGAATAAACATTTCTTTCACTGAAAAATTCTACAAAAGCAAATTAAGGTAAAATATTTTTTAGAAATAATTGCAGACACCAAAAAAGAAATAGTGAACATATAACTTACCCTATTTTTTTTGGTGCATAGTTTAAACTCCTTGAAATTCATTAAGAAAATGAAGTCATCAGCCATGGTATACTCAGCTAGGTCCTTTTTTGGGCATCCAAACAATGTCTTATTCTGAAATTTTGATGAAACAATTGTTACAATACTGATAACATTGTGTACTTATCTTTCAAAAAATTCAAAACTGTATTGATGCTGAGCTTTGTAGAAACACACCAAAAATGTCTGCCCTAAAATACGAGTCAAGGAAGCAAGGTAAGCCATGGAATGTCTGTGGTCAATAGTGTGTTTGACAATAAAACCATCTACTACTTGGGTATTGACTGCAGCCTGCTGTACAGTGCTCAATGGCAAACCAACATGCTGATCTGACCCATGGCTTTCCACAAGATATATTAGGTTTTGAATACCACTCTGCTTCAAACGGAACTGGAACAAAAATAATGCATGTATTTAATTTTGTAAAATTGTTCTGATGAGCAATGAAGGGAGACTTACCTTCTGTTCTTTAAACCGCCCATCTTTAATACTGCCCCCCAAATCATCCATTCGTTTGCGTTCAACAATGTATGGCAAAACCAATTCATCAGCTCTTGAATTTTTACTTCTCGCAATCCAAGCAAAGTCACCAACTTCCAATTTTCTTACTTCAAAAGGAACTTTCATTTGAGTCAGCTCTGACACTGTTTGATTGTGATTCTTTTTTGTTGCTCTGGTAAGGAAAAAATTCATCCAGATAGAACAATAAAAAATATCCTCCAAACATACAGTAAAATTCCAATATTCTTACCCTCCAGTTTCACAAGTATCTACAAGGAGTAGCACGTCAAAGGTTCCACTTTGCAGTTCAACTGTTCCCTCAGTGTCACATAAATTTCTGCTTGATGGTCTATCAGTTTCACTGCTTTTACTCTTGCAGTTTAATTCTTTACTACTGTGAGGTATTGGCGATACAGCTCTCACTGAAGGCCTCTGAAAAACCAGCAAATTAACATGGGATCCAGAACTAAATTAAAACTCAATTTAAATAATTTAACCTGTGGTATAAAATTACCATTTCCCCGTTGTTTACATTAGTTGTAACCTTGCGGGACACTGAAGGAGCCTTTGATTTGGGTTGAGGAGTGCTGTGTAAAGGTTCAGGCTCTTGATTAGGACTTAGACAATCCTGCACTGGCACTGGCCGAGTCTGTCTTGTTGGTGAATCTATTGTTTGTTGGTACTCTCCATTACTTTCAACGTTGTACCTATTTCGAAGACGTATTGCCATTTCTCGTCCCTCATTAGTCAAAGAAAACCTACAATAGTCAAAAGCGTGTTAGAAGTTCCTAATGGACCCAGATCAAGGGCACAAATTGTAAACATTTAGCATACTTGGCAGGATTACTGCATCTGCTAACTAGATCCTTCTTGACAAGCTGAGACATGCTGGACCATGCAGTATAATGAGACCCTGGATCTGGTCGAGTGAATGACTTATCACAAAGGGGCTGAGCTTTGAGCTGTAATTCAGCTTTAAGCATAAAACCTGGGTAGTTGGGTTTTTCTTCTTGATTAAGCAATGTTACAAGTATTGCAAATGGTCCTGATCCCCAAGCAGGAACATATTCTCTTCCCCCTGTGCGGCGAGGAACTTTCTCAGGAGGTTCTACAGTGTCAGTGCTGTTAGTGGACTGAGAATCATTTCCGCCTTTCTGAAAAATGTAGACCTTATTTGATATAAAAGTCACAGCTCTACCTTTGGAAACCCAACAGTAAAAGCTGACAATTAACCTTTCCCTTGGAAGTCTTCCTTTTCTTTGCAGGTGCAGGTGCTAGAGCAGGTGCATCTAATTCAGCAGGAATATTATCTTCAACAAGATCCACTACAATAAAACATAACTGACAATACAAAAACAGAACTAAAATTGAAATTTCAATTACAATGTGAAATATAGGGGATTCATACTTTCTGGGTGTGTTTTACGATATTCAACAAGTTTCCTATCCAGGAGCTGACACAAGCGATTTCCAAAACATTCTAATATAACACATTCTTTCCCACTTCTCAGTCTTAATGGATATTTTCGCAATGATTTCAAAGCCTGTAGAGGCATGGAAACATGCACATGTTAATAAGAAGTAAAATAAAGGCACACTAAAAAACTTACGTTGAATCCTTGAATCCTTACCTTGCCAAAACAATATTGCATATCAGATCCTTTTTCTGCTGCTTCTTGTCGCCACTCATCCAGCCACTGCTCAAAGAGAGGATTAGGCCGATTAGGACGCACTGTCACCCTTTTCATTCCTGGTTTAGGAGGCTCCATTATTGGAAAAATTCTGAAACAAGTGAGATAAAACACCTAATGTAACCATAACCCACAACAACATAACCCGCAATAAAATGATAATGCTGCTAACTTAAAATACACTTTACCTGATGTCATTTGATACTACTATTATTTTTCTCACTTCAAAAACAAATTTCTTGATTGGACTTGGCTTGTGTGTGTTTGTTTACATTCGCCGCACATTTGCCGATTCGCATTCGCCGGGCACAGAAATGGGATGGGAAGG